ATCGGATTATATGATTAATATCAAAATTAATTTCAAAATTGCCCACACAATACAAATAGACCAATCTAATGCAAGTATACATATAACGCATACAGTTGGTTTTAATCTTAATAACATATTATAATAAATTATTTACTTGTATTCCTTAAAGTATTTGTGTTTTAAATTGAACAATTAATCCAAACTTAAAATGTATTGACTAGATATTATATCACTTTAAATTTCCTACAAAAACAGATTTATTTCACTTTTAAAGAATAAAAATAAATTTACTTTGAATATGCTATAGGTTTCGTGTATTGTATTGCTTGAAATGTTTACGGATGTATCACGTCTTCAGTAACTGAAGTTTATAACTGTTATAAACTGATATTTCGGACTCGTTACAGAATCCATTTTCAGAACAATAGTAATATGCCCGTGGTTGTAACTATACTGTCAGTTAAGCTTGTGTACTGTTTTGTTTTATATCAGTTGTTAATTGATAACAATGTTGTTATTGTCGCATTTTTGATAACAACTTTAGTTTGTTGTTTACGGCATTCTTGACATTTAACTCTACCTTTTTTGCACCGGTAATTTTCTGTTATGTTATTTGTAGTTTATTTTATTTCACATATTAAGTTAATTATTTTGTTGTTTGTTGATTTTCTTAATGCCTGGTGTATAATAGGTAACCAAGTTTTGCTAACAGTCTATCTATCTTCCTGGTTTTATTTTTTTTAATTATATAATATTATAATTCTTTATTTTGTTGTTAAAATAAATATTTATATTGTATAGTTAGAAATATGAAAATGATACGAAAACTACAAACATTTTTATGATCTTAAAAACAAGTACAGTGTATTAAAGCAATCGAATCAACTACAAACTTCAGTATACCCATAAAAAACTCAAAAGAACATAAAATTTCTTAAACTTCCGTTATAGCAGTGTATAAATATATAGAAAAAAATCCATATAAAACATATAGCTTGCGGATTAATAGGTTTTATGGGTTAAAAATAAGTCATAGATCTGTGACGAATAAGTTATTTGTATATAAAGTATTCAGTAAATAAAGAAAGGGGTTTCTATTGTTTTCTTTCTTTATAAATATTAACCTGTTCCCTAAATTTCAGAACACCTTGTATACAAAAACAAAGGAAAGAGTTAATGATTTAAAGACATCATCCTCGTTTTATCAGAACAACCTTTGTTGTCAGGAGAGCAGAATGTAATCACTGTAATGTCTATCTATGTCTGAAAATTGAGTAAATACAATGTAACTTTGTATTATTAACAAATATAAAATACCTATCATTCATTTATATTACGTTTACCTTTAGAAACAATTTAATTTTATTATTATTTATGGGCACATCATTAAAAGTAAACCTATATATTTTCAAAATTATAACAAATCCTGTTTTTTTTAATAATTCTAATATTCACTCAATAATATTCAAATCAATTAAAACGCATATATTTTAAAATACTATAAATTTTGACAAAATAGAAAAATTGTATTTAAAAATATTAGTTTTAAAGTAAGCTTACATTTTTAACTTACAATGAAGAAATATGTTCATTGTTTTATATAAAATTAAAACATTTGTAAACAAATTTTTACTTAATAAATTATTAATAGTATTATTTAACATTATAGCATATATGATTAATATTATTGAAATAATACATGTACAAATTAAGTATCGATATTATGAAGACTCAACTCTAAAAAAAATATTATTATCATCCTCTTAAATGAAACAATTGTTTTACTTTAAAATTACCATAAAAACTTGGATTTTATTCATAAATTATTATTTGTATATCTCACATCTTTAAACTTATAGACAAAACTAATTTTCTAAAAATGGTGAAATTTAAAAAATTTAAAAATTCTATCAGTTTTCAAATTATAGATGATTTAATTAAGAAATTGACTGGTCAATAAAGAATTTTGGAGCAATATTTCATAATTTATTAATATTTAAAAGTGAAGACTGGTTGTGAAGAGTAAATGCTATTTTCATAACTAGACATTTTCTGACCATATTCTTCTTCCAATCAAGGTATAAACATGACAATTATCTCCGAAATACTGATCTAAAAGTCTTTATTGAGCAGTAATTTTCTTAATTAGATCATTATCTACTAAATAAGATAGTTAATTATGTATATTGAAATATGAAAAATTTAAGTTGACAGCTCTAGGTACAAGGAATAAACACAAAAATACTTCATAATTGATAAATTGAGAAAAAACATTGAAATAAATAAAAAAGGTCAATAAAAAAATTATGAGTATTATATTTATTTTCCGATTTATTAAATTATTCAGGATACATTAATCATTAAATGGAGAACATTAAAAGAGCTATAATTTGGTTTAGTTTTGAACAATGTAATTATCTCGTTGCTATGTAAAACAATTAAAAAATTTTGACTTTAACATCATAAAGCTACTAGAAATCAATTTGTATTATGTACAACTTTTAAATTCTTTAAAAAAATACCATACGACACCGAGTGATCTGTGTTACATGAAGAATAACACAATATCTTTTAGTATTTTTGAGAAATGTACAGATATTCTATGCAGTACACTTTAAAATCTACTATTCTTACCAAAAAATGTATAATTTTTGGCTTTAACTTTTAAAAAGTCAAGTTTTTTGAAACAATATGAAAAATAATAAAAAATATAAATTTTATATAATTTTAAAGCTATTGGAAACGTGTATAAATTCTTTATATATATTTCATATCTTGTAATTATCTACGTTAACTTTTCAAAATATTTATTCAATTGAAAATGAAATTATAAAAATGACTGTCGTATGATTGATAGAAACAAGGCTCAGTGACACAAAAAGGTGTAATGATAAAAATATGACACACATGCAGTTATGTCACTGACTAGGGTTCGTTTTATGTTATTGTTCAAATAACAATTAATAGTTCACGCAGAAGACATCGCTGGTTATCAATCATAAAAATTATTTTTACATTACAGTAACTATAACGTGAAAAAACCATTCACCCCATGTTATATTTTTATTTAGCTGTCACATATACGTCATATCCTTCTGGTAATTTCAACAAATTTAAATATTTTTATTATGATCCCGTTTAATTTCATTTTTGACATACTCTTTTTCTCACTGTATCACATTGACCATATAAAAAAATATATAGATTTGTTTATTATGGAGAGGTTATTATATTATGAAAATAAATAATTCAAATAATATTTTTTTAAGAGAAATTCAAAAGTATAAAATTAAAATAAAGTTAATGAATATCAATAATTGTTACATGATTTGTGAGGAGTTAACAAAAAATTAAAAGAAAAAACCAATTATCCCGTGAATTTGTATTATTAATTTAGTATAGTGGATATTTTATGATGATTAAAGATTAATGATGCACTAATTCATTATCCCGAAATATTGGTCTCTATACAAAGTAATATACCAATAAGTGCCAGAAAATACAATAACACTAGGCTACGTCTAGCTGAGGCTCCGCTGGACGGTGACCTGCGGACCTATCATGCCTACAATGAATTAAGTCCTTCAGGCTATTCTTACAAGTAAGCCACTGATTTCAGTTGAAGTAGCCGGTTACGCTGGGCACGATATGTGTTATGTAAAAAAGTTAAAACCAAGATGTAGTTTACTCAAAAAAATAGTCAAACTTCTAAATTAAATAATAACTGAAAAATAATAATATGACTACAAAATACTTAGGTGTATTCACAATTACAGATCATAATAATCTACTAATTATTACTCAGTACAATAGGTAGGCGAAAGAAATCTTAATAATCACTAAAAACAATCTTTAAATACCGTGATATTATTGAAAAATATATAAAATTGACTTGCGTAAACCAAAAATATATATTACTAAAACCTATGCGCGTGGATTTAGAAAAAAAAAGCTCATAACTCGAATAAAAATCAACAGATTTCAACAAATTTTGAAGGTACCCTTTGGAATGTCTCTGGACAGGCCTTGTAAAAATTTTAAGTAAAAAACGAAAAAACAGGCAATAATAAGCATTTTTTATAAACATTTTAAACGCTTATAGTGTGCTAAAAAAAATTTTAAATCTGACATCATTAAGTAATTTTTCCAACGTTTTTTTATAATACAGAATATTCAAAAAGTAAAAAAACAGGTTAATTGTTACAAACAGTGAGAACAGTAGAATATTTTATTATTACCAGTAAGGCAAAACAATAATCAAACCAAAATTTTAATTTTTTTAAATAAATTCCTGGCTAATAAAAATATATAATTGAGTATATCTCGATATTTTTTTTAAACATAATTATTAATACTAGTTTTACATTAACGTTAACTATTTAACTAATTGATTTGTTATGTATCACATTTTTATACAATTATAAAATTATTTTAACCAAATAAATTAAATGTTAAAATGGTGAACGCTTCAAATGGGCAAAAATTGAATGAGATATTTAAAAAAATAGATTTATAAGTATGTATTCGTCCATTTGTTAAATTCTAAACTAATAAAATTTAATACATACATAGGTACAATATACCTTTATACATAATATGTACATTTTTAAGTCTAAAATATTATGTTAAATTTAAAAATATAACCTATATTATGGATGAACAGAATATTATGAAAGATAAGTTAAAGGTTGCCACTTAATATTTATTTTTACAAATTTACTGTTGAAAAATCTATTAAAAACACTCTTTTTTAAACAAATAAATGTTTATTTTCGCTAATATCGATTAAATGTGGTGGAACTCCTAGCGAAGTATCATTTATTAGCGAAGCGAAAAATTAATATTTTTGGCTAATTAATAATTAGCCAAAAATAGTAAAAATCATTAAGTAAAGTATAAATTGTCAGTTAAAATATAGTACTATTATGGTAAACTTATTTTTAGTTGATATATTTGATATAAAATGTTATTAACTTTACAAAAATATTAAGCTACTAAAAATGTTTGCGGTCTTATAGAATATGAACAAAGTAGAAGGTCTAGATACTAGCCTTGAGCTGGATTATGTGATAACTCTACCATCGAATCAAGCATCCATCTTTCGAAAAGAATTGATGAAAAAAGGGGTGCCAAATAGTTCTATCAAAATTGTAAAAAGTATTGAAAGTGAATTTTCTATAGATAAATATGTAAACAATAACCATCGCACAAGACCACGAGTAAAATTTATGCCAACTTTTGTCAAACTCGGCACATACGGTGATGGCGAATATAACGTATTAATGCGTAGAAGAACTTCGCCGGATGCTCGAGAAACTGTTTGGATAACATTAGCATCAAATGCTTATGGAGCTTCCTCAAATACTTCCAATCAACCTAGTTGTGATGGGGATCAAATTGATAATGCTGTAAATAAGAAAGAAAATGTAGCAATTAGTATGACAGTTAATGAAATATGCAATCATGAGGGTTTAATGATAAATAATTGTCAATGTAGAAGCAATACATGTTTTGAGTACCGTGAGGCTTTGATTAAATATTTTTCATCCTATGATGCAAATTGTACCGAATGTTTATTTAAAAAAATAGCCGACAGTCTGCTAACCAATTATGATAATGAATCAATTCAAGAAAGTGAATTCGTTAATGATTCTAACATGTGTCATCTATCATTAACAGAAATTAAGGAAAGAGATTTTGTTGAGTCGGAGATTATACATAAGGAGAATTTAACCAACGACCAAGCAGCACTAGAAATAGAGGAATACAGTTCTATTACATCAAAAGAAGTATCAAAGGAGAAATCGACCGACATTCGTCTAAAAGGACTGAGTAGTGGAGAATCGAACACTACATTCAGTACATTGTGTGAATCAAATATAGAAGTATCAAACGTTGTGGAAGGCTGTGATGAAAATCAGTCAAACTCAACACCACAATCAACTGAAATTAATAACGAACTTCAAACAAATAAAGAATTACCTATAGATAACGAAAAAGTTTTACGACAATTAAATGTAAAGCCAGTTAAACGATCATTTTTTTCAGGATTATTTAATAAAAAGAAAAAAAAGGAAAAAAAAATCAATTTAAAAAACTCGCAAAAACAATCATTGTAGATTAAGTTTACATAAAAGACAATAGTAACAAACCTCAAAAGTATTAAATATTTAATTTAAAAATGTACAGTAGAACGGATTAAAATGTTTAGAATTATTGAAATTATATTAATAAAGTATGCAATATTTTTTACATAAGAACATTGTTAAATTTTTATAGAATAGATAAATTATAAAATGTATTGTAAATTATAACAGATAAAAGTCAAATAAACACTTGAAGGTTACGTTATTAAAGTTTTGAATAAATATTTCAATGAAAAATGAAGACTTTGTTTAAAGTTGTAAAATAACATGTCTACATATTTTTATGACGATAACAATAATCCTATTACTAGTTGTTCAAAACCCCATCGCTGCAGTATTTATTTATTTTTTGTTTCGTGCCTACGCCCTTTGTATTATATCACTATTCACTAGTTCAAAAATAATTCACAAAACGTCCTGAGTGTGACAAAAGTACAAAATACATTCTATTTTAGATTATTACCGAAATGGAAAAAAACCCGCCCATTGACCAAACATTGATAACATTTTTAAACGTAAAACCATTGTCCTACGTATGTCTAATTGTTCAAACGGATCAATAGATAATAAGTTCACGAGAAAAAATCTCGTTGGTAATGATTATCCTAAAAGATTGTCTATGTTCCAGTAGATATAAGCTGACCCGTGGCTGCAGGTGTTCTAGAGAGTTCTTGGGAAAACTGACCATCGCTAGAAAGGTTCACATTAGTCCTAATCTTTGTTTAAAACTCGTTCATTGTGTTGGAATTTAAAAGTTTATTTTGTTTACTTTTTAAATACCATTGCACCTGCCAATGTATTAAAAAAAAATGCATAAATGAATAGTATTTAAGTAAAAATTTAATGTTTGTGTATATGATTCTCAAGTCTTGTCTAAAAATGATAAAAAAAAGAAAAGAAATGAAATTTACTTTTTCTTATTCTATTATAATATAAAATAGTAATTTGTTTGCCAAAATGTTTATTTGTCACTTTGACCACAGTTAATGATTATTAACAAGAGCACCGCTAAAAGTAAATATATATACTTAAATACTTTGACTATGGTTGTTATAATATAATAAAATTATAAATAAATATATAATATTATGAACACTGTTAGAAAATAGATTTCACTATTAAAAGGATCTTTTTAATATATTTCGAATAGTTAATCATTTGCATTATAAGTATCCATTTGTATCCTACCCGCCGGTATAGAGAATCTTTCAAAAAAATGTATAAATTAAAATTTAAATAATTCTATAAACTATTGTGAATATCAAGTTTATTATGAAAAAATATATTTTATGAAAACTATATGTAGGCTATTTTTCCATATCTAATATTATGATGATCACGACTATAAAACGTTCAAAATATTACTTTTAAAATCTAGTAAACCTGTAACCTCGCATAGGTTTGCTGATTTTTCAAAATGTTTAATTAAATTTATACTGATGAATTATAGTTTTATCATAACATTAAATTGTATTCTTATGTTATTTATTTCTTTTAATATAAATTAATTATTTATTAAAAAATATGTATATTTAAAAATTATTTATTTTTAATATAGTTTTAATTTTGTAATATTTTCTTTAATATTGTAACATTTGATTTGATTGTAACATAATTGTAATTTGCTGATCTATTATTATTAGACCAGAAAATAAATATTTATAAACACATTTGAGAATGGTTGTACTATTAACTTTAGTATTAGTTTAAAAACAAAAAACAGTATATAAGACGAATTGGATTGAATTGCCAGAAGAATACCTTAGGGCATCGTGGGTAATGCAATTTTTGTTTTTATGGCAATAAGTCTTTACTATCGTATATTAATTTATTATACTTTGAATGTGGTCTTGTTTTACACGTTTTATCTTGTTTTAATTATTACGTTTGCGTTATTATTGAACTATTTTTCATTTCTATTATTATAAGTAAAGGTATAAGAAGTTTCTCTTTAAAACACGTCTAGGTCTTTATACGGCACGTACTTGGTAGTAACTTAAAGAGTAATTTGTGTTGGTAATAGTTGAGTACCCTTTGTCTTATTACACTTTTGGATGACGGTTGATAGTCATCGACATACCCCTTGGTAGTGTTCAGGGAAAGAAAGGGTTTTTCTAGAAACAGTTATGACTCAAAGATTATATTTATTTATTTATTAAGCTGTTAGGTATACATCAATATTGAATCGATGGAGATACAACACTATGAATTCTTAATTTATCTTAAAATCGTTAAGAAAAGCTTAAGCATTGTCTAAAATGTTGACTAACTTTATTAGTCTAAGCTTTTATAAAACTAAATTCTGTTGGATTTATTGAGAATTTTAGGTGTTATTAAACTAATATAAAATTGAATAAATAAATAAATTTAATATTGAGTTTTAAGAAACTCTTTTTATTAAAAAAGAATTACGCCATTAAATATATTATACAAAAAGGTTTATTTTTTATGCTAGGCGAGACGAATGTCACCTTGTGAAACTAATATGACGTGTAGATAATTGAGTTTTTGAATTCTCTTATTAACTGGGTGACACATATAATTAAAAACAATACTTATATCATGCTAAAGCTGGCCATTTATGTTAAAAAAAATTATATTTTGTCACTCAGTATGAATTCGTTGAAAAATGAAATAATAAAAAAACCATTAAATAATTCTTATCAATTTTTGAATTCTTGGATACTATTAGCATAAGACTGAAATAATTGGTTCGTAGTATTGTTTTGATATTATTTGCGTGATGTTATCAAATAACATCAAATTTTAATGTTAACATTTAGTGTTTGACACCATGACGTTAAGTATAATATTGTAATTTGCTTTTAAAATAACAAAAAAATCAAATGTTTTTTATTACTATAAATCACGTCACATTGTCAATAAGATATAGACAAATATTATTATAAATCTTTTAAAAAACACTTAAAACAATAATACCAAATATTACTTTTTACTTTTATTTATTAAAAAATGAAATGTTTTGAATGACAAATAATTTAAAATGACTAATGAATCAGATAAAGACTGAAGTTTTTTAGTATAGGAATTTCATTAAAAAACTAGAGTGAATTGTTTGATGGTTTCATCAAGGTTTAATAAACACTGTATTAACAACGATTTAATATTAATAATGATTTCAAAATCGAGTTTGATCGATAAAAAAATATGGAAAATGTCGAAAAGTGGAAAAAGTTAAAACTTAATTACTAGTAAATTCTTATTAAGTTAAAACAATACAATTATGTGGCAAAACAATTTTTCCATTTAAAATTCAACATTTAATGATAAAGATATAGAATAATTTTAATGGCACAGTGTGGACGTGGCATATTGGGACAAATATAGATGATATCTAACAGTGATAATAATCACTATCTTAAGAAACGCTTCAATGCAAATCTGTAGATATTGTTTAATTTTAAGAAATTGGTAAATTATTCCAAAAGCAAAATTAACTCCTATTTTCTTTTCTACTTCGACTGCCATTTGCACATAGAAAATAGGTCATCAGTACAATTTTTTTTTTTTTGGACTTCTAATACATAAAATAAGATCTATAATAACATATATTTAAAAGGAGCAGTATTCCCGGAACAAATTTAAAAAGTTCTACTTTTTATACGTATGTTTCAAGTTTTGAACGCCCTCTGTATAAGGGGGAATTGACCGATTTGAAAAAAATTTTTGTCTCATGAAATGACTATGTATAATGTTTTTAGAAACAAACATTTTGTGTAGATTTATATATTTTTCAAAGAGTTATAGCAATTTAAAGTTGAAAATTTTAATACAAAAATAGCATGTTTTTAACTACGGCAGCCATTTGCACATATATCGGAACAAATTTTTTTTTCAATTTATAGTACCCACCTTTAGCTTTAATTAAACATATATTTAAAATACGCAGTATTTCCGAAATATTTTCAAAAGTTAAGTTGAAAAAATTTACTTTTGTGAAAAAATTGCTATTTTGGATCCGCCCCTGTGGGCAGGAGGAAAATAGTCAGGTTTTCAAAAAAAAAGAAATTTAGGAATATCCTCTATTTATAGGGAACGAGGGAAATTATTTCAATTTTTAAGGGTAAATTCTTCAACTAAATACGATTTGTGATCTTTTAACGTATCAGAGAAAGAATTCGGTCCAGTGAGAGCTGAGAAAAAATGGCAACAGACACAAAAAAAACACATCATGGTAAAATTAATACTTTCTCAGCTTCACAACGAAGCTAAAATTATTACACTTTACGTTACAATCGTAATATTATAATATTCCTATTGTTACAAAATGAATCATTTCAGAATGGTATACAAGTGAATCATGAACCACTTAATTAATTGAAAAATTACTTTGAAAATATTATTATTATTTGGTTTCTTTTAGTTACATGTTTTCTTGATTTATCAACCCAGAAATATGTTTTATATTTATTTCTTATATTATATAAAGGTAGTATCTTAATTGCATTAAATGGCAACATACAGCTTATTTATAAAATAATAATCCAATTGAGAAAATGACTGATGAATAATATCTTTTGTGTGATTATATCAATATGTGTTATGGACTGATAAACAGCAGTTCCTGTTGAACGTGACGTTTTTAAACAAATAATTAGATACCCATATTTGTTAACCTTCAGTTAAATTTAACTATTCAATTAAATTGTTAAATTTCAGTCAAAAATGTCAAAATTATATTTAAAAAACAAATGAAATTGAATAAAAAATACAAACGACATTTACTATTACAGTAATTCTAAAATATTCTATTAAATTCAAAATATATGTTCTCATTTAAAAAAATAAATTTAACACCTTACAATGCATAAGGGATAAACTTAAAAAATATTAAATAGTTAATAATTCGAGAATTACATGTTATCAAAATTTAAAGTAATCAAAAACAATTTTTCAAAATTTATTTTTATTTGTGAGTAATTGAGTGAGTTATGTTAAAAAATTAATTCTGTATGCTTTTTAATATATCGTATCAGTTTTTAGTGAGTCTTATATAATTGTCTAGGGTCCAAATTCAATTTATTTTATCCAATGGACCCAATGTATTTTAACTATTAA